AAAAAGTCAATCATGAGTTGGAAAGCAATGAGGTTGAGGCGATCTGTTTCATTGACAAAGATGCCAAGATTGTGGGAATGTCAGCTGCGCATGTAGATGCCGCTGAAAAGCTCATGAACGAGTTGATATTGGAAAAACAAGTTAAAGTGGATGTTAAGGGTGATCATTTGCTAAAGTCAACTGAATGGATCAAGATATGCGATGAAATCAATGCAAAATCAACTGTCTGTGTCCATGGAAACGTCTGGAATGATACCCCTGTAGTGGGGTTTAAAGATGAAGTCAGTGACGTATTGGAAAAGCTAAGTGCCTTCCTAGAAGACAATTACATCAAACAAGAAGACGATGTGTGCATCTCGGAGCTTATGAGGAAGTATATTGGCGAGTTTCATGAAAACAACTTACGATCCATAGAAGATCAGCTGAAAGAATTTTACGTTTCGATTGAAAATGGAGAAAGACCTGAACATTTTGAAATATCTGGAAATAGGGAAGGCTTGAAACGGGCGAGAAAGAAGCTTGATCACCTCACAAATGATATCGCGTCACATGCGTTTGATATAGAGCAGCTAGGGCTGCCGAAGTACCTCGACACTGAAAAAGGAAGATGCTTGGTGAAATCGGTGGAAAAGGAACAGGATTGTGTCATAGGTTTGAAGGAGAACTTGTGCAGAGAGTCCGAAACTGAATCTACTGCCTCTACAGGTGAAGAGGAAATGACTATCGAAGAAGGAAATGAATATGATGATGAGATAAACCATGAAAGTGATAATAACAATGACAGTGTTGGAACTGCTGATGATGACAAATGTGATGATAATGATGAAGTGGACCAAAATGATGCCAGTGGTTGTGGCCTTAATGATGTCACTACTGCTGTTGATGAAGGTACCACTGGTGGAAATGATACGTCAACTCTTGTAACAACCCATGGCCATAATATATCATGGAAACCTGGATTCATCGAGCAAGAGAAGGTATTTTTTTTATTTAAGAGTTAATCTGTGAAGCATGAATACAGCATTTCAGATTGATGGCAAAATGATCCCCTGATCGGTTAAAAACTGCATCATGCAAATGTTTTAACTAAACATTATTGAGATTTCTATCCGAACGAGTTATTTCTATCTCATAAGTACTCTCCACTACATGCGATGTAGACAGTTTTGAAAGTTTGTTTGGATGTTTTAATTGGTATTTGTATCATTAGTAGGCTTGCAGCCTCTCATCGGTAGCAGTTAATCAATTAAAACCTCTGCTGATTTGGAAACTGTTATTACTTTATGAAAAGCCAGCATTAGTTGAGTCGAATTAGAAATGTTTTAAGAGAGGGATTCTTACTATTTTCTTGAACGTGCTTTACAGGCTGATGTACTAGTCAGCTCCCACGGTGAAGCAATCAAAAAGGCAGGTGCTCCTTGGAAACCAACTCCAGATGTTGGCGAAGTTATTGTTTCATGTGGTTTAACCCCAGCCACGCATGTGATGCTCACTCACTGTTGCGAGTGGGATGGCGTCAAGGGTGGGACGGCGGAGAAGGTAAGACTTGTGCTTTTGTTCATGAGAGAGTTACTCAAGACCAAATTGGCCCTTAAAACTACCAGGAAAATGATAGATATAAATGGTTATATTGCCAATACCAAAATCCAAGAAGATAATGTTAGTTCATATAGGCTTGGGTGAGGACAGGCACTTTAAATTAAGAGACGTAAAAAAAAAACATGTAACATCTTCTCTTCATAACTTTTCATAGAATCTTGGACAACAAGAAACAAAAACTCGACATAATGATGAATACATCTGTTGATAGCGGTGAAACGAGCGAGGCCCTCACAGAGAATGGAAACAGTCACTTCCAAGTTGATCGTCAGATGTCTTTGTATAGACCCATCAGACATTTTGACACGTACGCGCGTAATTCTTGAAGTCAATGTAACTCAAAGCAGCAAAGTCTATCTGTTATGTTTATCAAGTGGATTAAGTATGGGCACTACTAAGTTGTAGAGAAAGTTGTAGAGAGACGCTTGCGCTATTCGAAATTGGTTAGTTGTTCATTTCCTTTTTCTTTTGGATGTAGACATTACAAGCCATCGTTAGGGAATGTCTGGAGAAAGCTGAGAAGCTTGGAGCGAAACCATTGCTTTTCCGGCCATAGGAACTGAAAGCCTCAAATTTCCACGAGAAAACGCTTCCAAGATCATGTCGCAAGAAGCGCTTGACTTCTGCAGAGGCCGTCCAATGTCCAAACTGCAGAATATTCAATTCGTCCTGTATCAGCAAGACCAGCTATTGAAAGATGCTTTCAAAAAAGAGATGAATAAGTTAAAAGCGAAGTACAAAGACGCCCCTAAGTACAGGCTACATCGCCTTCTGCAAAGTTTTCGACTAAAAACGAAACAAGGGCCAGCACAGACAAGGCCAGAGCCTGTGAGGATTGGACTCGAGCAGGGAGATATATGCAAGGAGAAAACCGACGCTATCGTAAATGTGTTAAGTAAAGACCTAAACATGGACAATTCAGGGGAACTTAGCAAGGCAGTGAAAGAGATGTGTGGCCAGGCAGTACAAGAGGAGTTGAACAAGTTAAAGAGGCAGCCAACCACATCAG